TATGTTGACTGGATAGAAACTTTTGTCTTTCATTCAGTTCAGATTCACAGGCAAATAAAATTGATTTGAAATTGTTTAAGGGGACATATCCCCAGCCGGTGTAAATCAGCAGTAGCTCCAGTGGAGTTAATGAGGCCTGATTCCCAACTGGTGAAAACTGACATAGCTTCATCACTGTTTTAGAGCCAGATCCCCAGCTAATGTGAAACAAAGTACCTCCATTGAAATCAAAGGCCCACATCTCCACTTGGTGTAAAAAGCCCTAACTCATCAGAACTCAATGGAACTATATCAATTTACACCATTTTAGGACATTGCACTGAGCTTTTAGTGTTTGCCTCCGGCTACCTCTTAGTGACCAACATCAAACAGCCAGAGCAGCCTCAGCTGTGGGTTCCTCTGGTGACTGCATCCCAAGAGCTGCTGCCAAAATGCAGGAGAAAAAAAATCTCTTCTCCCCCAGAGCTGTTTATGTGGCATTAATGAAGGAACAAGCTATTCCAGGCCGACTGGGGCTCTAGTGCCTCTGAGCGGTAGTAGGTCACATGTATGTTCTACCAATATATATTCTATTCTGCAATCCCCTTGAGATGCCTCATGGGACTCAGCCCTGCCTTGTTTTTAACCCAGGGTCCTTTCAGGGATGCTGCCATCATATGAGATTCAGGTTGGGTGCTCTTCCCCCTCTGTGGGGTTAGGGTCAGCTAGGGCAGCTTGTCAGGGTGGTTTGTTCCTGAGGTGAGATCAGATTTAGCTATTTAGCTCCAGCAAGGTATATCCTATGCTATGACTGTGTCTGAATCCTGCACAGTTGAGGATCAATTTCAGAGCTCGGAGGGGCTTCCAATCCCCAATCCCATTTAGTTCTTCACTTTTCACCCAAGCCTGTCCAAAGAGGGGAGCACCCATCTGTGGAGTGGGTCCCTGTCTGCTAGGAACTGCAGAGAGACACAGCAACTCAGGAAAAATTGTTACAGTTCTGGGAGACAGCAGCTTGATAACACAGTGATGAGGCATTACTGACAGGTGCAAAGACAGACAGTGACTGAAGAATCCTGGCAGTGGACTGTCCAGTGCTTCAAAGGCTGGGAAACTTTCCACAAAGACCAACACTGTAAGTCTGCTATTTCAGTAAAATATGTGTGGGAGCTAATATAGTGGAGCAATGTAATACTAGAACTATGAGTTTCAATTGGAACTCTTCAAAACCTTTATTATCATTAAAGCAAACATCTAGAGCTGCTCATTTTTTTCCAGCCTCAACATTTCTATTTTCATTGAAATTCTAGAAACCAAACCATTTTTTGGTGTTGTGAATTGAGAACGAAACTATATCAGTTAAAAAATGCTGAAAACTTAAAAATTTTCACTAGTTTTTTTTTTTTGTAAAAAAAAAAAGATTTTTCCAATACTTACGTTGATTTTAAGGATAGCACAAACCTATCATAAAAATGTTTTCAATTTAAAGCCCACTTTTCCTTTGAAATAATTTAAACAAAAAATATTTGAATTCCCCAGATTGAAAACTAATATTTAAGCCAGTGGGCCAGCATTGATATTGTCCAATAACACCCTCTATTCCAATCACATTTATTGCTGTTTCAAAGAGATTCGTGCAGGATGGTAAAACTGAGAAAGTGGCAATGTTAGTATCCTCAGACTGTTTTATACATGCAGTCACCTTTAATCCGAGGCACAGAGAATTGAAGCCCCCAGCCAAAGCCTGTCTCCGCTAAATTACATAGAAGAGGGCAATGTGGCTAGCCTCCAGATCTCCTGTTCTAGAACCATATCCTCTGTCTCACACTGATGCCTGCTAAACAGAAATACTCAGGTGGAGAGCACACAAACATAGTAAGACACAGCTTATGTCCCAGAGATTTTACAACTAAAGTAGAGAGAACAGAGAAAGGGAGGGAAGGGAAATAGAGGTACGAGGAGGGTAAGTAACTGGCCGAAGGTAACACAGCAGGTCCATGGCCGAACCAAGAATAGAAACCAAGTCTCCTGATGGCCACTGAATGGCCAAGGCCAGATATACAGTCACAGAGGGAAATTAAACAACACAGATATAGCTGAGCGATACTATTAGCCCCTCACTACACAGAGATGGAAATGTAGCTTGGATATGTTGCCACAGATCAGTTTTGGAAACAGGCGCGAGGCCGACTGTGTGGTGTTGCAGTGGAATTCTTACAACTGAGCTGTCATTGGGGATGCTTTCCGAGTCCATAGGTTTTTAAGGCCCTGCTTGAGAAAGCCCTGGCTGGGATGATTTAGTTGGGGATTGGTTCTGTTTTGAGCAGGGAGTTAGACCAGATGACCTCCTGAAGTCTCTTCCAACCCTAATATTCTAAGATTCTATTATTCCATGTCATATCTCCTCAGAAACTGGAAATCAGGCAGCATTACCTTTAATACATTAACTCAACATCCAAGTTTGCATATTTCCCCATTGGTGGAAATATCTTTGCAAGATCATTGGGGTTGGATGTGCTTTGCTCCATCCTTCACACAGCATTTTATCAAGCCACATCCTGAGCCAGATCTTCTGATGGTGTAAACTGATACATTTCCATTGACATTAAGGGACCCATGCCAATTTGCACATGTGTGATAACTCACAACTCCTAGTTAATAGGAGTGACAAGTTCTGTGCTTCATTGACACTCGCATCATGAGATATTGCAGCGTGGAATCAGTGCCACTCCCTCTGTCACTGTAGTCCCCACCATTGTCTTTGTCCTTCTCTCCGCAACCATCACACAATTAACTGAGAAAGAAAATGTCCAACCAAACCATGGTGACCGAGTTCCTTCTCCTGGCATTTTCTGATGTTAGGGAGCTGCAAATTTTGCACTTTGTGGTGTTTCTAGTGATTTACTTGGCAGGCCTGATTGGGAATCTTCTCATCATCACAGTCGTAGCCCTCAACCATCATCTTCACACCCCCATGTACTTCTTCCTGATGAATCTGTCCATTATAGACCTCGGCTCCATCTCTGTCACCATCCCCAAATCCATGGTCATTTCCATCATGAACACCAGGTCGATTTCTTATCCTGGATGTGTCGCCCAAGTCTTTCTCTTCGGAGTCTTCATTGCAGCTGATCTTGCCTTACTCACCATCATGGCATACGACCGATACGTCGCCATCTGCCAACCACTGCACTATGAGACAGTGATGAACAGGAGATCTTGTGTCCAAATGGCAGCGAGTGCCTGGATTACTGGTATTGTCTACTCTGCACTACATACCGGGAACACCTTCAAGTTACCCTTCTGCCAGTCCAATGTCATCAACCAGTTCTTCTGTGAAATCCCCCAGCTACTCAAGCTTGCCTGCTCTGACTCATACCTCAGGGAAGTTGGACTTCTTGCCTTTAGTGTGTTTTTAAGCTTAAACTGCTTTGTTTTTATTATTCTGTCTTATGTTCAGATCTTCAAAGCAGTGATGAGAATCCCCTCTGAGCAGGGCCGGCGTAAAGCCTTCTCCACCTGCCTCCCTCACCTCACTGTGGTCTCTTTGTTTCTTTTCACTGGCTTCTTTGAGTACCTGAAACCCACCTCCAGCTCAGCATCAAATATGGATCTCATGATGGGTGTTCTCTATTCCCTGGTGCCTCCAATAATGAATCCGATCATCTACAGCATAAGGAACAAGGAAATCAAAGCTGTATTAAAGAAACTGATTGTGTGGATGTTATTCACCAAGAATTAAAATGTCCATAATTGGTATTTGATTGAGATTTAATTCTGAGCTTCTTTATGATTATAATCAACTGATGACAAAATTGTCTACTTGAGAACATAGGGT